ACAAAGCGCGTTTGCGACGAACGAGGGTCGGGTACTTCTCCTTCAGCTTGTCATAGACACGGTCCAGTTGTTGGCAGTAGAGTTCGGCGTTCACGGCACGGCCATTCTGAACCAGTTCAAAGTGAAGCACGCCCTCAAAGTTCCACCAGACGCAAATCAACACCTTGCCGAAACGATCTTGACGCGAAACTGATGGCGGATCTTGACCTCGCGGAACCCACTGCTTCTGCCGGTTGTGATTGACCAAGTAAGCCCATTTTTCGTCCGAAGTCGCAATACGCTTCCTAAACCGATCATCCAATGGATTTTCCAACAATTGACGGCAGACTTCAACACGACGCTTGGCTTGCGCTTCGGTCAACTCGTGTGGATCCTGGCGAGGCTTCTTGTGCACAAAATCCATTTGATGCAGGTGATTGAGCACAGTCTGATGGGACGAGACTGCAAAAACCGACGCCAATTCACAGCTGCTGGATGAAGGCTCACCTTCCAAGGCTGCCCGCAGATCTCGTTATCCAACGTTGATGGCCGGCCGGAACGTGATTGATCTTCGAGACTAAGGTCACCGAAATCGAATCGTTTGTACCATCGGGAAACAGTTGTGTAGTGGACGGTTCCTTCGCCTTCAGCATCACAAATCTCTTTCGCAGCATCTCTGGTCGAAAGTCGTCGCTTCCAACAATAGCGTATCAAGACTCGAAGCTCGATTTTGTCCAATGTCATCTGAAACTTTGAGGATAAAGATGAACCTGGAAGAAAAATATATCATTACATTTTCCTGCACACCGAAGTCATGTGGTTTTTCAGATAATGCAATTTTCTTTAGATACGCGAAATCAGATATGCTATTAATATAAAACGATTGGAAAGTTTATTTTTATGTGCATTTTTGTTAATTTTTTGTGTGTTTTATGCACAATTTTTGTCGTTTTTGTGTTTATCGTGTTCGTCGTGGCAGACATGAATGTGGAGAGACCTGGAGCTTCGGACCCCAATCGAAAGCAACAATTTCAATCGCGCAAAGATTTAATCGTGGCATCTATCGTGGTCCTGTTTGCCATCGGCGTGTTCCTACTGGTTTCGAATGTATCATTGGCGAGTGTACCTGCAATTAATACAGTGGACCATTCTGGTATACTGATTTTCAGTTCCTAAGGACTGTTTTCTGATTGACATATAGAAAAATAATTTCTATATTTTATTATCAGGAGCGGCATCAAATACTGGCCACAGTGTAGAGAAAGCACCGTCTCGAATACAGGTCAGTTCTGTTTTAAATACATTTGTCAAAACAATAAGATATAAGGAACCCAAGTCCGTTTTTCACTTATTGAGCATTTCAATCATCCTATACTGACTCGTTTTCTTCTGCCTGATGTCCTATAGCTAGGGCACTTAGTGAGAAATGAAAACGTCCAATTGGTATGATAGAAAAGTTGCATTTTCTGTTAGGAATTATTATATACGATGATCAATGTCGTGGAAGGCGTCATTTTCATATTGTTCCCAAATGTTCTTCTATGGGAACACAACTGTAATGATAAATAAATGAATGAGGTTTCTATCTACATACATTCCAGAATGAGGTTCCTATGGAGCTAAAAATAAATAAGATTGGTGATACTGAAACATTCACATTGGTCTTATATCTGCCAGCAATATCAAGAATTCCGTTTGCTAAGAAACTCTTTCTTCTATTTGCATCCTATAGCAGTTTTTCATTCTACGACCCAAACATTCTTCAATCCTAACAGTCAAGCAATGCGAATGTCTTCAAGATGTGTTTCAAGGAAGATCGTGACATTGGAACTAATATGATAACTATTTTGTACTGGCAGATAAACGAGGACCTAGAGACATGGGACTTGATCAGGGCGAACCGTCGGAAGCTTCGGGATGATTATAACTTGGACTTTCAGGAGTTGCTTCTAAGTTTGAGCGAGAAGAAAGTCTTCACGGCCACCGAGGAGAAGCAGATACGAAGCAAAGAAAATGGAAAGCTATTTGACGAGCTCTTCGACATCCTCGTACACAAGAATCCAAAAAAATTTATACCCGTCTTTCTGCACACACTCGCTGAAATTGGAAGGCAGGATGTGAAGGATTTCTTGCTTTCTCAACTGGACAAGATATCTGCATAGTTTACGCATTTTCTCCTTGGAAAAATTATTAATCGGGCTGACTAATATAATTATCTATTTGAATGAGTCACTATGAGTTTGATATTATTCTCCGTCATTTTCGCCGATTCTACACACAGCACGTGTACGGTATGGAAACAAAAAATGGTAAAGTTACCAGTCCAAAAATCACCCTCAAGACCTGGTTATATTACCGCTCAGGATGATAATGTATTGACAATTAAGCGCTGGAGGTGGTTTTTGGGACAGTTAACTTCATTGTTACCTTGCTTTCAAAAGATGTCTTTGTTATTTTTATACAGAAAATAAGTTAAAGGAGGTAATCCCACGTACTTGGTGTAGCACTGGTGCTTAGAAAGAACGTAGGAATATCGAGTTGAATCCCTGACATGTATGGCATAGAAAACTTAGAATAACTTATAAACCGATTAGCACGAAAATATTAAGTTAATCTTTAGTCCATAGAATCGGACTATCTTCATTCCTAAATAATGGTCCCTGTACTGCAATAACAGGGAAGTGATTTGAATATCCACTAGACCTCAAGGCTAATTTTATAGTTTTACATTCAGGAAGTTCTCAGTCTCACTAAGAAACTACGCATGCACAGATATTGTTTTACTTTTAGTCTTCCATCTTAAGACCACAACGCTCAATGTTTTGCTCCCAACAATCATGCAACATTCTAAGACGGAAACCATACAAATGAACTTCTAGCTGTCCAGTCATTCTTACACAGTCAACTTAAGCTCATTGTCACCAAAGCGCCTCTCTTGAATGTTATTTTCTCAGATTTTGCGAAAACGTAATAGCCAGTTGGAGCCATGAATATACGAGGGTCACCCCAAAGTAATGCTCCCGATTTTTTTCTTACAAATGATTTATCACAATTTAACACAAGTACACAGTAATATCATAGTTAGCAATAACATGATTTGTGAAAATTTCTGTAGACTTATTTTTCACATAGTCCCCATTACGTTCCATACATTTGCGCCAGCGTGAAAGCAGTGCCATTATACCGTCGCGAAAGAAATCTTCATCTTGTTGGTGCAGCCAGCGACGAACCGCCCTATCCTCCTGGGGGTGAAACCACGAAACTTCGTCAGCAGCGGTGGAAAACAATGGAGTCAATGCTGCCGAACCGCCAATTTCAATTGCAATTAAGCATTACTCAGAAAAGTGTTGGGAGCATTGCTTTTGAGGTGACCCTCATATTTCAGAAACACCTAGTTATCACCAGCATATGGCCTATGGAACAGAGGGGCAGAGCCTTGTACACCTCGCACGGTAGTCTGATACGAAACGTGATAAAACACTACGCAATCAAGGGATTAATGACGGACGTTGTGTAGTGTGCACTGATCCTTCCTTGAAGTGCATGAGAGATAGTCGAAAACGAACGGGTCTCGTCAGGAGAAAGTCCATCTGTCCTTAACCCTTACGATAGGATGTAAATATAATATCGACTTAAATAAAATCACCCCTTACTGACTCACAAAGTAAAACGGCTAGTACCCTATAGATTTCATTTTTCTTCGGCTCAGATGGACCTAAATATTAAGAGCCCGAAAACACTGATACTAACCTAAATAAATTCAGGTTGCTTTCTCAATAAGGCCGCATAGTTCCTTACTCTTTAATAAAAGCCTTAAAGATAAAAAACTTCAAGGGAGAGATCCTGGGGGAGAAGCAGCTCTCTCTCGGGTTGACTTCTCCCCCATAGCCATGAGTCACCTTCACAGGGCGAAGACATTAGCTTCATGAGGGTCTTGCTCTCTGGCAGTCCTGATGTTGGGAGGATCTCACCATGGTGGGGAAGAGTCATGTGTCGCTGCAAGGAACTTAATGCGAAAGTCTGATTCGAGGTACAACGATTTCTATATTTTGGCTCATACTCTTCCCTTTAGATGCTGAACTAAACTCATTCAACATTAAGAAGTCACTATCTGAAATGTTGCCTTTGAACTATCGGAGTACTGCACGTGTCCTATATTTGGACTCTCGATATCCTTTTTTGGGTGGTAAAAGAAGAAGCCCGCTATACAATGAGTACCAGGAAGGGAAACTTTCGAACTGTTGTGCTTTCGAAAGAAAAGCACTTTACACTCTTAGAAAATTCCGAGCGTTTGGGAAGTAAAATGAGGGCACACCGTGAGCTTTTCAAATGTACTCTCTTATTGCGCACCAAATGCTCCCTCATCGCTCGTATTCGTATCGCTCGTCATCACTCGTAAGTGAATACCTTGAAGTTCTTAGCCAGGCTAATAGATGGAGGTAAGGGTCTCGTTTTTCGCACAATACACAAAAGTTGCTTTCCCTCTTCCCCTGGATCGTCCCTCGCAGGATTGTTTAGTACCTTGCCATATGTCTCGCCTAGTCCCATTATAGGAATCAATGAACACGGACACTTCATCATCTGTTATTCACATAATCAAGCAGATTCATAGAGTCCGGGCCATAAACAAGTTCATATTCCTATTGGGAACCAATTCGGAACAAGTAAGGTTTCATCCGCCTAGGCGATCTAGAATACAAAGAGAGTGTCAGTGAACTTCATTGAACCATGTCTCAACTTAATGAGGTAATGAAGGCCTGATATCAAGGACACATCTTAGTACCATAAGAGGAGGTAAACTCCCTGACATGTGCTGTAATCTCTACAGAGGTAGGTCAACGTCAGTGCTGTATGAGAGCGAAAGTGACACAAAATCTGTACGACAATTTGCGTGTTTGCATGACATCCCTATCTCTTTCTCAGGGGAACGTTTTACTCACGGAGGAGGAGAGCAATCTTACTCCTTGGTGATAGAGTGAACTTGCTCCTTTCCCAGAGTGAAAGGGAGGTGAAACTGGAGTTAGCCATTTTACTCTCGTTTTGAGAAAAATCGCTCCCCTTTTTCTAAGAGTGGTTTTTCTAGGGCAAGCGCCCCGGTTTCTGCCCGGTCTCCAGTTGTTGGCCAGTGATGCTTAAATTTAGTATAATTAGTTAATCTGGCCGTTTTCAAGCATTTTATCAAGATCTTCCCTTATGATGACCTATTACTAATGTTTCCCGGTGTGCGCCCAGGGTGTCCACTTCCTATGGGAGTCGTATCACTGTGGCCAAAAACTGGGGCTTAAGTTGCCAAAGACTGGGGTGTTTACCCTATATTGGAAAAAAAAAACAATTTGGGGATATTTCGGAGGGAAATGTATAATTTCACATCCTTAATGCTGCCGATATTAGGCAGGATATGACTTCAAATAATCAGAAGTAACTTGAAGCCACAATAATAAAAAAATTCCCATGACTTATGACTTTTGCCCACTATCCTCAAGGTGAGCATTAAATTAATTTCGTTCGATCCAACAATAATAAAGCAACGAAATGGAGATCGATGACCCACCGATACACCAAAGTCATAACGGGAGGAGATCCCCGTCGCTTGCCGACCTGGCTCGCAAACACCTGCGAATTCACGGAACTTTCGTCCCGTGTGAGCGACTCTTTCCGAGATACGGATATTTCGCAAACGAACATCGTGCATGCTTCGCGACAGAGATCGTCGATATGTTCTCTCCCCGAGCTCTGAACAACGAACTACCATAATGTCATGCATTCAAGATCATGTCAGAATGAAAATAAAGAGGTTTTGTCCTGAAATGAATGCGCCATTAATACCAACCCTCCCCCCCTCCCCCAATTGAACCCCGGCGATATCGCGATATCGGGCGATATAAAGGTCGGCGCTATACATATTTTAAAAACTATATCGCCCAGCCCTAATTGCTATGCACAGCTTACAAGCTTCTCGAACGGCTGCTATTAGCCAGATTGAGCCTTTATAGTCGAAGCACATATTCTACCTGATCAAGCCAGCTACCGACCTACCCGTAGCACCTGCGACCAAGTTCTAGCAGCTGACAACCTTTATTGAGCTTGTCTTCCAGCGCAAACTCACAACTGGAGTAGCTTTCATCGACCTCTCCGCCGCTCATGACACTGTTTCGCGCGAGGGTCTGCTTTTGAAAGTGTTTAACATTGTCAGGTGCTAATAGACAATACGCCTACCATCTTCCATGTTAACCAACCGGAGGTTTCGTGACCATCTGGGGAAAACGATAAGTAGGGCTCGGTTATTTGAACAACAGCCTACCCCAAGGCTCATTCCTTGCCCCAGGCCTTTACAATATCGATATTAGTGACATCCCTACCATTGAATCACGCAAGTTTGGGTACGCTGATGACCTCGCAATTGCAGTTCAATCCGCATACCCCACCAATATCGAAGACGCAATCACGAAGGACTTACAGGAGCTCGAACGATTCTTTAAATACTGGCGCCTCCTCCCTAACCCCAGTAAAACGGTCATAAGTGGCTTCCTCAACAACACAAACCTACCAAACAACCAAGACCTAGCAAATCCACCGGCCAACAGGTTGAAAACCAGGAAACCTTTCTGGACTAAGGCAAAGAGGCAAACACTTCTGTAACGGGCCGACGCCCTTCCAGTCGTGTCACGGTGCAACGGGCCGCCGCCCTTCCAGACATGTCGTCCAGAGAAAGGAAAAGGAGGCATGCTGATTCAGGAGACGGACGGAAGTCAGGGTGATAAGCTGAGGAGACAAGGGGAAAACGTATGAGGGGACATTATCTCAGGGATGCCGGATCGGGATCACCATCCCCGCCTT